GCATGGCCAGCAACTTCGACGGTGGCAGTCACTGTACACAATTGTTAACCGACCACTCTGTTGACCATCGGTCACGCGACCAACTCACATCCCAACGATATGTACAGGAACTTGAAGGCCCAGCGGAGGAGAGGGAGATAACGGGCGGCGAAGATGAAACAGATCACGCTGGCGTAGGAAACGGCGGTCGCACGGGGTTGTTCCCACTATATACACAGAGAGAGAGAGATTAGCAAGCTATCCAAATTGAAGACGCGGGCGACAACTCACGCTCAGAAGGCTATACATCAAAGAGTGGTAGGCTAGACACTCGTTAATATCCCGCTACCCAGTCAATCCAGTTCTCATGACATACGGGTCAATGATTGACCATTGGCGGTGGTGGTTGAAGGGGTCACACGCGAGTTTTTCAGATCGCGAAGCTCATCGCTGGTGCGGGATGCTTCGGACTTCACATTATCGACAATTGGGCCTGTTAAGAAACTGGTCAGCATGCTTTGGTGGCTTCGGGGACTTCCGGATTCCTATTTACCCTTGGTAATAACATCGCTGATGCCTGAGCGCAGGAGGGGTCAAGGTCAGTCACCCATGGCCACGGAAACTAGGAAAAAGAAAAGAGCAAAGAGCATAATACTGCAAGGTAACTGGGTTAGCATGTTCATTGTATAGAATTGAAGTACCCTGATGATTTTCTGACCTTACTGCCCGTGTTAGGGTAGGTCACGTCACCAGAAGCCATGACGGTGATATTTGTGATGAGCACTTCAGGGGAAATTTTTAGAAGCGAAATTAGAGAATTCGTAACAAGCGTATCAACTGAGTCGAGGCGTAAACTCTTGAAAAGAAATTAAAGGGGGGAGGGGGAAGAGAAGAAAAAGAAGGAGAGCACAGAAAAAGAGAAGGGAAGATTTGACCAAGGTTGTTGTGATGCTGTCATGTGCGTTGCCAAGCCCGAAACAGCTATGGATCTGGTGTCTTAATATGTCTAATGGATGACGAATTTACTATTAAATCTTGATTTTATACTTGATTCTACTGAGAAATATCTTATATTAGGAGTAAATACTGGAAATTCTGAGTGTCTTGATTCTAGTCTAACACTATGGCACTCTACAAGTACATCTATACGACTATACTCCATAACACTCTTATCAGGCCACCTTCCAAAGACCATTACGTTCTAGCCTTGAGGAGATGTACTTTTACGATGATATCCTAATTATAGTGTTCAACTCCATGTGAAGCTATATATATGTTGTATACTCCGTATAATGTCCATCGATGTGCAATATACCTATGACTTCATACACTTTATACAACCAATCATAAGTAACTTTACAAGTGCAACGAGCTTTCTAGCTCTACCTAACTCTACCTAGCTATATACTACAGTAACTACAACATAGTTATAAAGGACATAATCTATCCTACCTAATTATACCCATTATATAAACCCTCATATATATAAGCTTCTGAGATTAGCTTCTACATCTCTCAATTCTATATTAGGTACAAATCTCTATAAACCATTCCTAATGATTATTGGTGTATTCCAGTTCACGGATTTTTGCCATGGAATAACCACTTTCTTTTTCGTCACTACGGGTGAACTACATCTTGTGTCTATGTATTCTCAGTGCTGTGATAGAAGACAGTTGACATATGGGATGATGTGCATAATAGCCAAACATAAGAAGATAAGAAGATTGGAGGGGACTGATGAATAGCAGAAACACTTTGCCACCGAGCTATTATGTTCGAGGATGAGATACAATGTGAAAACTAGCCCCCACTATTGTTTGACTTGTTAATATAGGAGATTTAACTACAACATAGGTAACTATCCTTTCCAAGGTTGATCAATAACTCCAACTCGAAAAGCCAGGGAGGAGCGCCCGACAAGAGCAGGGATGTATGCTTTAGGGTTACATCAAGCCACTACGGCCTTTTATATTGGCCAGTCTTCTCTCTATCTATGCTGAAACTAGCCCCTATCACCTGTCCTAGGGATATAATCCCTGTCGCCGTTAAATCCGAATATATTTAACAAGGCCCGACGGCCCCCGAATTCCCCGATTTTTAGACCATTTTTTCTCTTCTAGTCTATAGTCTCTGCATCCACATGAAGATTCTCTTCAACTAAAGCGAACGTGTCCTTACCACCGAACAATCTACATTCAAAAATGTCGGACCCTATGTCCGGTGTGCACGGCTCTGCGGATATCACCGCAGAGCTTAACCTACAGTCACGGTTAGTGATAGCTCCCCAAGCTCGTAATGTGGGCGATGATATTGATGCCTGTGCCTGTCTTTCTTTGCCGAAAATAGAACAGGATCCAGCTCTTTCTTCTGAGCTCCAAGGCCGTACGGCTCTCCATGCCAATGGCAGTATACCTACCCCCTCGGATAACGACGATGGTCGCGTGGCTACCGAAGACGAAGTGCGTGACCTTCTTCATGTCGTTGACAGAATTCCGGTTCGGCTCTGGGTAGCATGCCTTGCGGGTATTCTGGAACGCTTTGTCTGGTACGGGGCAACCGCTCCTATACGTGCGTGGTACCTCCCCATTTACAACGCTGTTCGACTGACTGTACACACAGAGAATTACCTGCAAAATGCACCTGGTGGCGTGGTTCCGGGAGCACTGGGCTTGAAACAGGGTACTGCATCGAACATCGTCAATGCACTAATCATCGGGTCATATATTGTGCCCGTGCCTGCTGCCGTTGTTACCGATAGCTGGCTGGGTCGCTACAAAACCATGATATACGCTGCTATGTACTGTGAAGTTTTATTTCTTTATATTTACCCTATCCTACCCGTTTGTTTGACGGCTAACACTATAGCAGCATTGAGGCCATCGGGGCAACTGTTCTTTTTGTGACATCCCTGCCCGTGGCGGTTCATGGGGGGGCGGCTTTGGCCGGAGTGATAACTGCCTGCATACTGCTGGCTGTTGGATCAGGGGCATTCAAGACTGCGGTAGTACCATTTATTGGTGAGTCGATTCCCTAGACTTGGGTGTACCGGTCTGAAGGCTGACATCGTTTAGCCGACCAATATGACGAGACCGAATTTCGAATCAAGACTCAGAAAGGGGGAAAGAGAGTTGTCACCAGCCGAGAGTTAACCATGACTTATATCTACAACGTCTTTTACTGGTGAGTACATGATCTTTTTCTTTTGTCATCATAACTAATGTTAAAAACAGGGCTATTAACGTGGTATGTTTCGTGGCCGATTCCACACCGTTGTTGGAACGATATGTTGGTTTTTGGCTCGCTTACTTGGTCCCATGCTGCGCCATGTGGTTGGCCCTGGTCCCGATACTACTCGGCCACAAGTACTTCAGTGAGTGCACTTACTAGCACGGCAATGAATTGATTAACTAACATATGGTTAAAACAGTCCGACATTCTCCCACAAGCAACATTATGCCCCAGATATGCGCTGCCTTGCGATATGGGATTACCGGTGGCTTCAAAATGGATGCCGCAAAGCCAGACGCCCAGCTTCATCAACACGGTCGACAAGTCCCCTGGGCAGACTCATTTATTGAAGAAATTAAGAGGAGTCTCCTGACCTGCCGAGTATTGTAAGTTAATACCGTTTCTAGTATACCGCCAAAGCTAACATATACCTAGGATTCTGTTCCCTATTCACTGGCTTTGCTATAACCAGATATTCAGCAACTTGATCTCCCAAGCTGGGCAGATGGTCACGTACGGTATTCCAAACGACATGATGAAGATTTCTGGGCCAATTTCGGGGATTATCATTGCGCCTATCATCCAAAAAGGACTCTATCCTTACGTTACAAAGCGACGAATCTCATTTGGACCGATTGCGCGGATGACTGTCGGATTCATCTTCCTGACTCTCTCCATGGTTTATACCACAGTGGTTCAGAAGCTCATCTACCAGGCCGGGCCATGCTACGATACACCACTTTCATGTCCTGCTTCCAATGGTGGAACTATCCCCAACCAGGTTTCGGTCTTTCTCCAAGTTCCGACGTACTTTGGTGGAGGATTGGCGGAGGTATTTTGCCTTACCACGGGAACCGAGTATGCTTATAACCACGCGCCTAAGAGTATGAAGACCCTGGTTCAAGCAATCTGGCTCGCTATGGCTGGGGTCGGAACCTGTCTTGCCCTGGCCTTCACTCCGCTCACCAAAAACCCCCATCTGGTCATGATGTATGCCATTCTGACGGGGCTTTTGGGTGGAGCGACCATTCTGCTGTGGGTTCTATTCCGAAGCTTGGACAAGTCGAAGACCAAGGAGGATGTTGAGTAAGGGAAGTCGTTACTTTGAGTATATATCAGAATCCAATGTGTCACTAGTGGAAGTTATCAAGGGGAAGGGCAGGCATTATGAAATGGACTGCGCGATATGTGGAGGAATTGAGGGACTTTCGGGCATTGCAATGATAATTTGACTTTTCAAGAGAATAAATGTCTTCAGTGCTTGAAATGTATTTAAAATCCAGGCAATTCAGACACAATAACGCATGTGCATCATCATTATTAATTCCCATTTCTCTTCCACGCATGGCTACTTAGTTATGAAGGGCATACATTTATCCTGCTCAGGTGTACGCAAGGATATAAATATCCGTATATATAAGCTTTGGGGGTTAATTTCTTAATTTCTTAATCTGTCTTGTTTCGATAATAGGTATGAAACCCTAACAAATTTCTGATGATGTGGTTGGCCAAACCCCGCCAATATCGCAGGCAGCTCGCTTCGGCCTCATTGGGGACCGAATTCGGTCATATCAATAGACGGGGTTCCTCTTTGATTTCTATTCGGAACCCCTCCACAACATATTTCTTACTGAAAATGACGGAGCCAAATATTTCTCCCGCTTGTTTTGCAAAGTGAAACGAGCAGACCCAAAGCAACATATTCTCAATCCTCCCTCCAGAGATTCGCTATGAGATCTTCGTCTACGCTTTGACAAGCGCTCCGGACACTACACAATCACCTGGGCAAGATGGATAGTGCACGCGACCAGGGTATGAGACCCGCCACCGGACCTACACAGAACTGCTCCGAACCTGCAAAAAAGTCTACATGGAGGCATGGTTTATGCCCTTTATCTGTTCGGAGCATGCATACATTTTGGATGGCCTCCTGGGACCGCACTCCCGAGCGAATGACTACAGTTGAGCAAATGCAGCAAGGCCTAGATCTGATTTATGATCGACATGGCGAAGTACAGGGCGGCCGGATTCGAGGGTTTCCTCAGCTATGGAAGCTCGAGAGCACCAGAGATTTCGATAGGATCTTCACGATGCATCATTTTTATCCCAAGTCTGTCACCATCACTATCCGATACACCGACACTTGGATGTGGGAGCATAACGAGGAGTTACACATCGAAGGGGCCTGGGGCAAATGGCTGGTGCTACCCTCGAGCGTCAGCGGGTTTTGTATCGATATCGAAAGCGTCAAGCGACGCAAAGACGAAGTGGACTGACTACATTGCGAGTGAATGGCCGACCAATGGCGATTCCAGCGAGCTGATGGCACCAACATGTTCGCAGCCAAAGCTGATACTTCCGTATCCAGATGGACGGGAAGTTCCATGCTTGGCGGACGGCGCTGGGTGCGTGAAGAGGTGGCGGCTGGTCAGCTTCAGTACTATTTTGCGACTGTAATGTGGCGGCCTTCGCAGGAGCCCTTGGATGGTCGCCAGCGTTTGAATCCCCCTCTCCGAGTAAATTGGAGCCGCCCATTACCTCGAGATTTAGGTTGGAGCTATATCAAAGTATCGTATTTGGAAGAGGCTGGGATCTCCATGGCAATTCCTGCTGAGCAAGTGGTTGCTGAATGCATTGCTAATGGGTATGCATTTTATAGTAGTGATGAGGAACTGGACTATGATGGATTTGTAAATAGGTCTGACTATGACTCCGAAGAGGATTCTGAAGATAGAGAAGATTCTCAAGCGGCATGATGTGTTTTCAATGTACTTTTTTTTTAATCAAAATTGAAGTTACAGTCATAAAACGATGTGAAGTTGCCATAACAAAACAAAGGATCACGTGACCCACGCGTTGCTATCCACCCGATTAGGTCTGTTTTGATTCTCGACATCTCCATTCCCCGACACCTCAGCGCGACCCACAACCCACAATCTCCATGATTGTGCATTTACAATTTACAACTCTCTCCATACGCCGTTAATTCCTAGTTCTATTTCCTCCATTTTCGCCAACGGCGCATTGTCTAGATCATGGCGGCAAGCGCGAGGGCGCAGAAGCCCGTCGGCTCAGCGCCATGGATTGCAGCAGAGAAGGAAAACATGGCCGAGCTAGTGGAGCAAGAAATGGAAGAAGTGGAATACCCTGTCCGACACGAAATGGACTGGTTAAATGAACATATGACCGAGATCTTCTCCAAAGGCCAGGCGTGAGTTGCGACCGCACACTATGAACTATGTCTGTTCAGTGCTAACAACCACACAGGAATTTTGCGGACGTGTTCAAGACGCCCGGAAAGATGAGAGGCAAGACGCCTCGAACCGCTCGGAAGCGTGTCCCCGAAGAGTCTCGAGTGGTGAGTATTCTCCATATCGAAGTGGTTTCAACAGTTCTCGTCTAATGCCCCTTGCAGCCCTTGAGCGAAATCTTCTCATCCACCCAGAAACAGTTGGAAAACCAAGCAAGCCCGAGCCCATTCATTCATCGTGTTGTTTCTAAGCCCGCTCCCATGGCGGCATCGCCTGTACCCCGGACCAAGATCGCGACAGAGCCAGCTTCGCAACCCGGATATCCCGATCTCACTCAAAACCTGAACTCCTTCCCAACATACAACACCGACTCGGGCTATCATGGAATGCCCGGCGATGATGAAATGGTACTGCCTGACGTGCAACAAGAATCACAGGCTTCTACTCAGCCTTCTACCCAACCTTTCGAACAGGATGAGCCCATGAAGCTGGATATTCAAGAGGTCGACATTTCTGCTAGTCAGCAAACGAATGAAGAATCCTTCCATTCTGCGCGAGAAGAGATCCGCTCCCGCGGAGAGACCGTCGAGCCAAACAAGGACCCAACCCCAACCCAGGAGCGAACAGCACGTCCAGCTGCATCGGTTCCCAAAGAATCTGACCTCGAAATCATGTCGACACCGGCTAAGAAAACAAAATCAAAGCCAGATGTCAAAATTTCGGAAAAGCGACAGATTGAGGGACCTGAACCAAAGGAGAGTGATCCGGTTGTTTCCAAACCTGAGCCTTCTCCAGAAAAGGCCCCGGTAGCCCCAGTATCCCCAGTAGCTCTACCTATCGAGATGCAAGAATCTCACCCAAATGACGAGGATATGGAAGATGCCACGAAAGACGACACAATTCTCGACAACCTTGATGATATCGGATCTCCTTCGGATGGTTCTACTCCAGAGCGACCATTTGCTCGGAAAAGCAGCCTGAGCTTTGCCACCCTTCCTGCGCGGGAACCCTTGAAGACTCGAACAAGCCATGTTGACCTAGCTAAAATGAGTACTGCTGGGCGTCCTAGCTACTTTGGCAGGCAGACTGGCGGCCATAGAATTCCGCAAGCTGCGACAGAGGATAATGCCGGTTCCAGAGCGTTGGAAATTGACAATGAGAAAGAGCCAAGTGAAGAAGCGGATCCTGACGAGGCAACCAGGATGCACAGCAAAAAGTCTACACAATCACTACATGATAGAATCAGCATGCTAGGCAAACTCCAGCCATCCCGACCCAGGAAGTCAATCCCGTCCGCTTCTGGGCTACCGGTTGGTCAGGTTCCCTACCCAGAACTTCCAGCTTCCAAGGCTGAAGCAAAGTCTGAAGCTTCCAGCGAAAGGGCACATGAGGCCCTAGCTCCAGAGCCCATGTCGGTGGACGATGACTGGATCAAGCCTTTGGGCTCTCCTCAAAAACCCGAGCTTTCCAAGAGCAAGACCACGGATGTCATGGAGAAGCTTGCTGAATTCGAAAAGGCTCGAGCAGTCAATAAGAAAGATGCACTGCAAACAGAGCCCGAACGTCCCAAATCATCTACCTCAATATTCTCTTCACCTCGACCGCACAGTCACCAACAAAGCGCTTCTTTGTCTCATGGTGGTGATGACGCTTCTACTACTCCAACAGGCTCACCAAGACGCTTCGACGGTCACATCAGTGCTTCGAAGCTGAAACTGCACTCCATTATGAAATCCGCCAAAGGCCTGTTCTCAAGTACTGGCAACACACCACGGATGGAACACTCGCCTGAGCAGGCGCGCATTCAGCCGAGTGCTGACACATTAACTAAACATGCCAAGCATCTATCCCAACCAGTCCCTATCACCAGTCCTCAGCGTCCAGAAGGCCGCCGGACACGAAGCTCAACAGAGAAGGAAGAGAAACGGCGCCAGCATGAACGGGAAGAGCAGGAGCGTGAGGATCAAGAAGAGCGTGTTGAGAGAGCTCGGGAACAAGAAAAGCAAAGAGCCCTTCACCTCAAAGCCGCTCAGGATAATTCCTCGGTCGAACCAGAAGAGAGGGCAGGCTCAGCAGTACACAAGACCTCCCAGTCACAGCGTCAACAATCGCGCGAACCTGAATCAGCTCAGGAGTCTAGCTCGAGATTTACCATCTCTCAACCGAAGCAAAATGACCGCCGTCCTCTCAAACCCACTCGCGAGCCCATGAAGCGCCCCACGCCGCAACCCATGTCAATTCGTGTTGGCAGCACCATGTCCCGTCAACAAATCCCTGTTCCATCGTCTTCGGCTGCTCAGGAGTCGGTTGTATCCGCGGCCCCGTCTGCCCCTGCCTCAAAGCCAACTTTGAAAAAGAAGGGTAGCAATACGTCCTTACATACGTCATCTTCTGCAAGCAGCTTTAAGAGCTCTGTTTCCAGCCAAACGCAAGCCCAGCGCAAGGCTCAGGTCGCCAACGACCGCAAGAAGGAGCAAGAACGCGAGGCACGCCGAAAGGAAGAACAAAAGCGTGACCTAGAACGTAAGCGTGCTGTCCAGCAGCAACAACAGGAAGAGGCCCGTCGGCAGGAGATGAGGAGTCGTGCTGAAGCCGAACGGGAGCGCCAGGCTGAAAGAGAGCGCCAGGCTGAAAGAGAGCGCCAGGCTGAAAGAGAGCGCCAGGCTGAACGAGAGCGCCTGGCCGAACGAGAGCGTCGCGAACGATCGGCTCAGGAAGATCCGAACAAAGCCGCCCGTATGGAGGCAATCAAGAAGCGACAAGCAGAGAATGCTCGGAAGCATGGAAGGCAGGGCAGCCAGCAGATAGTCAACGAGGTAAGCGCGTTCTTTCCAACGGGAGTTTTTCATACCACTAACAATCTCCAGGGGCCAATTCTACAGCACGAGCAGTCATATTCTCAGTCTTCTCAGCGAAGTGACCTAGGTGGTTCCCGCCCTGCTTCTCGCTTGGGTAGCTCAATTCAGCCATTCGGCGGCCGCGGCATCAACCCACCTGCGCCTAACCCTGCCAAACCGCCAAAGAGAGGCAACGATGAAACCAGCCACCGGGCTGCGCCATCTAAACCGAGTAACGTGCAATCAACTGGCGAGTTCAAACGGCGAAAGACAGAGGATGAGCACAACCCCATGCCTCCTGTGCGCACAATGGCGCAGCCTATCCGTCAATCGAATATCAGGAAGGTTAGTACCACCGGATCCCCTGTAATATCCTAGCGAATAAATTATTGATTTTGGGAATCTATAAAGCCTTCTACCCTTGGCCGTGGACAGTCTTCCATGGCACCTCAGTCGGCCTCTTCCGGTTACCGAAATGCCCAACCTCAGCGACCCGCTCACCCGATAGTCACATACACGAACGGCAAGATACCGTTTGCTGAACCAAATCATGCACCTCCTCCACCAAGCGCACACAAGCCTGCGCCCAGCTCCGCCCAACGCCCACCAGCCAAACCATCACCCAAGTACCCCAGTGGTGAAAACATCCACTTGCCGGAGATCAACACTGATAGTGAAGATGATGATGATTCCGACTCTGAAATGTTCCCTGTGCCCAAGTGGGCACAGGCGAAAGAGCTGGAGGGTCTTCTCCGGCAACAGGATGGGATGGAAGTTGACTCGATCTTCGGGCCAATTGCACCATTCTCTCTTGAGGATACTTTCAAGGCGGATAAAAAAGTCAAGAAATACCGTGACCGCACCAGCAGTGCGAACTGGTCCGGACCCGATGGACTTACTCAAGAGGAGATTCGGAAGGATGTTGCCGAACGACAGCGGTTGCGACTCAATGGCGGTTGGAGCTTCAACGGCTAGTGATCAGCATGAAAGTGTGAAGGTTTTCTTTCTTGGATTGTAAATAGGTCTGTACATTGAACAGCGGCGGCCTTCTTTTGGGAGTATGGATTTGGTGGTGCACATGGTATTGTCGGTGTTACAGGTGTGTCATCCACCTAATGGCGTTATCTTGTATTATTCCTGTGGACAGTTCTATTTATGGTCTTAGACAACAGCTACATAGTTGCATCCATCGGTGCATTGGGTTAATGAATTGTTATTTTGGCCTTCCATGTCCCCATTTTGGCATTGTGTTGGAGTTCATATGGATACACCAGTGGTTAGGTATGAGTTGGGGGGACTGAGAATAGATTTAACCTCATATAGCACTAAAGCCTGATACGTTACATCGAATCAGCATCATTGGTCTAGTGGTAGAATTCGTCGTTGCCATCGACGAGGCCCGTGTTCGATTCACGGATGATGCACTTCTTTTTTAATTTCTTTTTTTTTTTCTCTTGCCAATTTTGAGGTCTATGCCTTTTAAATCTTTCAATCTTTTCTTTTTCTCTGCTTTTAATTCCTTGTTTGTTCTATGTTGGCAGTTTTTTGGCTTTTATGTGGTTGTGTTCCTTCGTCCTGTGTCCTACTCAATATATATACACGTATAAATATATATATGGAACAGACCACACCATTGTCTCTGCTAAACTTATTATACGACAGGTATTAACGGCATCAGAAAAACCAAAACCAAACAATGGAAAAAGTAAACGGTGTTTTATTACCCAGAGTCCCGAAAGGAGGGTGTTTGACATAGTTGTTGACGTACAGCCACATGTTTAGTTGGACATCTATTACGAAGACTGGGATATACTCCATAGGGCGAGACTGATCTAAGGTTACTTATTAATGATTAATAAAATGCGAAAATGGTATCCTAAAGACACGGCATCCTAGCAGAGCATGATCATTTCACAGCCCAGCCTATAAATAACCGACCTAGACCCGTCCAACCCAACCCTACTTCAACCCAAAAGGAAGCCAAAGAATATGTGGCACATGTGCATCGTTTATGATTTTATACTTGGACATATAACTGGCCCATTTGCAGGACATACACCATGACATGGAAAAAAAAAACAGAAAAAAGACATGAAACCCCCATGAACCCACCCCCCTGGCAGCGCCGAGAAAAATATAATACAACGTTCTCTAGCTCTTACGCAGTAAGTATCGACATTAAGCCAGCACTTACTGCATGTCCGGCTCGATGTCACTAGCTCCTCCCTCAGTAGCCTCATCCATGGCATCGGGGTTGAGATTGGCAGCGTCGGGTGCGACACCGATTTGAGTCTCATAGGAGATGGTGCGCCAGCCGGATTCAGTGGTGGGATCCTTGACATATTCGGACATAGGGAACTGTTGGATGTTAGGACGCGGTTCAAGTTTGTATTTGATGTATTAAGTGCAAGGAAAAGGACTCACGTAATGATCATTCTTCTTCATGGTAACAACCCAGGGAACGTTGTCGAAGGTCACAGCGCGAATACGGAAGTACTCGTTATCGGGAATTTTGCGGACTTCCCGAATAAAGCTGTCCAGGTCTGGAGTTGAGACGCTGTTGACAGCAGTGAGGAAGTTAGTGGGCGCAAGACCGTAGTGGTAAGCGGGGGAACCACGGCTCTGAATAGTGTTAGCAGCATTCAAATGGATGTAACTAAGGTATCAAAACTCACCCTCGCGCTCACGTAGATCTCGCTGTGAACCTTGGAGATCTGTTGGCGAACAGCATGATGGGGTTTCTGTAGAACAGCACCGCAGAAAGCAAGGGCACGGTCTGTCTCAATGTCCTGAGTTGGCACCGTGGGAACGCGAATGCGCACTTCTTCGCCATTTCGAATGACCAACGCATCCAGGAATTCCTTCTCATACATGACATCTAGCTCTGAAACGCGGGTGACGATTTGATCATCGAGCGTGAGAATAATGTCGGCTTCTTGGAAGCTGGCGCTGGGGTCGGGGATAACGCCTGCGGGAGGGCTGTCAACCTTGCGCACCATGAACAGCTGGTGGCGGGATGGGTTGGCCTCGGTGACCTTGTTAATCCACTCCTGCGAGACGCCCATGATGCGGGCCTGGCTCATCTGCACAACATAGCTCTCCATGTTCAGGATTCGCAACGTTGGGACCTCTCCTTGTTGGATCTTGGGGGTAACGGGAAGCAGGTATGGAGTGGCAAGGCCGAGGTGGTATTCGACATCCTTGTGAGAGCTTGCAGAGCGCTCGCCGAGATAGTTCAACCACAAGGCCTGCACCACACCGTCTTCGCCGATGAGCACACCGTTTGAACATTGTGCACTGAGCCCAGTATCCACGGTGACAGCATCTAGGTTGATTGCACGGTAACGAGGGGCGGCTGCGTTCGCAGGGATTGACACAGTTGTGATGTCAGTGACAGTGGTTTTGGCCACGACAATGCGGTAGTTTTGGTTGAAGCCGACAAAGATGGTATCTTGGCCTTGTTTAATATAGTTGGTGCTGAGCTGGGCGCTCTTGACCGGGGCCTTGACGAGGCTGGGGTCATATTGGATGATGCTGTAGTTCTGAAGCGGATGCAGGAAGACAACCTTAGCACTGACAATGATCGAGTCGGCCACAGTGATGTTGATGTCGCAAAGGTCGTAGGGGACAATGGCGCGTGATACTACCACTAGACCCTTCTCAGCATCGATGACCAGTCCGAATCCAGTCTTCTTTGCTTGCGGGTATCCATCCAGCTTCAAGGGCATTATGCACGACACGCGCACGAAGCTACGGACAATCTCGGCAGCGGCAGGCTGGCTGATACCATCTAACTGGATGAAATTGGCCTCTCTTGGGACAGGAGGCTTAGCAGGAATGGGATCGGCGATATCGGAGAAATCCCAGACACCAGAGTCGTCGTTACGGACCGCCATCCGCATCTTGGGGTGCCAGTGACGGTCAACGTAGATGATGCTAGTTCCCTTCGTGTGGAGGTCGCGAATATGGCGGTAGGAGATCACCACGCGAGTGCGATCGGGAATGTTTTTCATGACCTCTACGAACTCATTGAGGTTACGGATTGGCCGTTTGTCAATTGAATCAATGATCCACCCTGCCACAGTGTTCTCCAGCTTGAAAGAGCCTGCCGACTCACAGACATAGACTCCACGAGTGGCAATGGCATAGAGACGTGACTGCTGGTAGGACAAATCATGGAAGCTGGCGCCAGCAACTGTCACGAAACGATCGGGGGTGATATCATGAAGATTTCCCACTTGACACTCGACCTCAACGTCTTGGCCGCCTCTCTGAACCAGCAACTTGACAGATTCGCCGACGCTCGAGTCTAGGATATCATCGAGACGAACAAACTGCGTAAGGAGCTCTCCATTCACCTTGATAAGCACATCTCCCTCCAGCAACTTACCATCTGCGGGTCCCTCCGGAAGGATGATCTCCGCTGCAAGCATGTTCGTTTCAGTAGGTGCTGCGGCACGGATAGCAGCCTCCCACTCGGGGGTCAGACCAAGACGACGACATTCGTCGAACGGCCTCAAGACCCACTGTGTTTGAATGGTACCACGAGTGACAGGCTGAGATTGGCGGATACACTCCAGTGCACGAAGCGGGCGGTCTAGCGGCAAAAAGTAGTCTGTCGCAGCTCCGTCAGCTCGACCACCAGCCTGCAAAGCAACTGCATGGCCAGCAAGATTGACCACAGGACTTCCCGAACTACCTCCACTGGCTGCAGCTGCGGCCTGGATGTAGTTTGTGTTGAAATCACAGTAGCCCTCTCCATATTCTGGCGCATTTCGGTCCAGTCGACTGATCACGCCGGACAGAATGCTCAGCTTTTCTCCAGCATCGTTACCCACGACACGGATCTCTGTGCCAACTCGCGCTCCATCCGGTTGGAGCTTAAGCTCAGTGACATCCATATATCGAATCTTCGCCGGGTCGAACTTTAAGATACCGAAATCATGAACAGGGTCCCGGTATACAGGCTTGACATCGCACTGCGATTTGACAATTTTGTTAGTGACCGGGCAAGCGCTTTAATTAAACAATGGCGCAGGATCGACTTACTTCCTCGTGGTTGTCAAATATACAGTATCCCCAGAAAGGACCAGCACCGACAACGTGGCGATTGGTCAATATGTAGCCACGCTCTGCATCCACCACGAAACCAGTTGCTTGACTGGACATGGAGAGCTCCGTATCGAAAGAGCAGGTCTGACAGAAGTGAATCGAGACAGCGCATTTCACGACCTTCTCGATGGTAGCTTGCCATTCAGGTGAGTCTGCTGTAGCGGGGATGGCGACTGGCGAAGGAGCTTCATCTACATCCTCCTCGACCTCATAGACGGTTCCGTTGGCAGGCGTCGCGTCGTCGGGAGTTAAGACTGCGGACTCAGGCCTGAGTTGCTTGTTGGGATGATCGAAAGTATCGGCCGCCGTGCTGCGCTTTCGCTTTGCACCCATGTCGCCCCTGCTATCCATAGTGAAGGTATCTGAGCGTTGGAGGTGGTATAACCGGGGTTTTAGGTGGTTGGCGAGAGACGAGATCGTCCGGGAGCCTCTTGAGACTAACGGGGCAGCAGAGAATGGGATACAAGACGATCGAAACACGTGAAGATGCGGACGATGCGGAGTTAAGGAATGTGACGCAGATGACCGATCAGCGACTAAGGACCTCAAAGGAGTGGATGTTTGTTTTAAAGCTTGATAAGACGACAAAAGCGAGGTGGTGGAAATTCGCAAGCTCCTTCTGCATACAGCCAACAAAGAACAATACATCCACCACACAATTCGGGAAAATGTGTACGCGCCTTGACATCGGCAAAACGTGCCCTCCAACAAGGCGCAAAGGCGGAGAAGTAGGAACGCCAGATCATTGGCCCAAGGCTTTACTTTCACATCTCAGGATTATTGCCGGCAGAAACCAGTTACTAAATATGTACATATGCAACTATGTACTTATCTAAACTTATACATGTCTACATATATTATCT